CCTGGTGCTCCCATCTGGCCTGCTGTCATCTCAGAAGGAATTGCCATGTCCAAGCGTGCAGAGGAACTCGAGCATCCCCTGCTGGCAAAGCTCCTTTGTTCACCCATCCAGCGGGCACCCCTCGCATTTTGGATGGGCCAGAGGAATGGACACTCCGATCATCCATTCTCATTCGAGAGGGCAATCAAGGCTGCTCGTGATGGATGGGCTCAGGGAAAGGCAGGCATGGGTAGCGAGGAGTGGATGAAAGGAGTCCTTGGGTATGCAGATGAGGAGGCTACTGAGGCTGAGCTAGAACGGCGTATACGGCAGTTTAGCCAGCTAAGAATTCCTGCGTACTATGTTTGCCCGCGTTGCGAGTCGGTTTTGTAATGTGATGTATGGTGCTTTAGCAGCCAATGCTGCTCATGCTGTTTTGGGTGCCAGCAACTTCTTTGTTGATGAATAGTGCACATAAGGATCAACCAGGCCCAAGTTTTGCAAACTATGATGATGCACTCAAGCCTCCCGTAACGGCCGCTAGGATGTTGGGGTTGATGGGCCAAGAGGACGATACCTGAGAAGTGACTTGTATGAGCGGGGGTTTCCGAGTACAATCCCGAGTTCCCTACGAACACAGAGGGTGTGTGAGGGGGCCGAGCAAGCTTATCGCTTCTAGCCCGCCCCCCGGACCTCGCACCCATGTTGCCGAAGAAGACCACGACTGGCCGCCGCATGAGCGGCCGCTGCGTGACCAGACAACCCTGCAGCAGACAGGCACAGTGTGGGTCGCCGAAGCCGACGAGCTGACACATGGTGCAGATGCCGACCGCACCCTCCTCACCGACGACGAGGCATGGTACCTTGACCCGGGTGCGACGATTCACATCTCGAAAAATAGACTCGATTTTATTGACTCCACAAGTGACCAATGTTGCACATGCATCGAAGGCAAACAGCGTGTCGCCCCGTACCCGCAAAAGTCGCTCACCAAAGTCGCCAGAATCGGCAATCTGACCGTCTGGGATGTCTGGGGCCCCGCGCGCATCAGACGCATTCACGGTGAATTCTATTTCACACAATTCACAGACAAGAAGTCACGCCACCGCGTCCTCTACTTCGCCCCGGACAAGGGCCATCAACTCGAAAACATCAAGCCATATCGTGCATTTCTGAAAACACAGACCGGCAAGCTGAAGAAGACACTTTGCGTGGACAACGGGAAGGAGTATATCAATTGTGCCATAAAGCAGTATCTTCGATCTCACGGCATTTGCCTCGAGCTAACCGCCTCCTATTCCTCCGCGCAGAACGGCAACGCGGAATGTGCAAATCTCACAATTGTCAATGCTGCGCACGCAATGCTGTTCGCGCATGACCTCCCCACCTTCCTCTGGCCCGAAGCTGTCCAGTACGCAAACTACCTCCGCAACTGCTCCCCAACGCGCGCACCCACCGACAAGACTCCGTTTGAAGTCTTCTGGGGCCGCAAGCCACACGTTGGCTACCTCCGTGATTTCGGCGCTGACTGCTGGGTCTTGCAACAGGACATGCAACTGCACAAGCTCGCACGCAAGTCTCGCGCATGCAAGTTTGTCGGATTTTCCAAAGAGTCCCTCGCGCACCGATACTACAACCCCACAATACGGCAAGTGCAGACTTCAAGAAATGTTATTTTGATAAGTCCACTGCCATTAAGGGGGAGTCCCCGGCTGTCCCTATGCCACTTGAGGGGGAGCGGAACGCTCAAGACGTGCCACAAGATGCCGCTTGAGGGGGAGCGGGACTCTCAAGACATGCCACAAGCACCTTCGGGACCTCCCAACACCACCACCGTGCCTCCCGCAGCCCCAGCAAAGCCATTGCCTGCACAGATTCCCGTCCGCACCAGCACACACCAGCTCCCAAGTCTCGACTACCGCTGCCTCAACAACCCCACCATGCGCACTGCACCTGGATGGGAGCGCATGGTACCCGACCACCGCAGCTCACTGAGGATGAGGACGTCGACTACACATTTATTGTCAATGCTAATGATGATCCGCAGACACCTGCCAAAGCTCAAGCTCGCCCCGGCTGGCCAGACTGGCACACCGCCGTGGACCGCAAAGTCGAGCAGCTCAAGCACCTCGGCACCTACGAGCCCGCGCAGTGCCCGCCTGACTGCAAGCCTATTGGCTGCAAATGGGTCTTCCATCTCAAGCGCAATGCGACGGGTGCGATCGTCAAGTACAAGGCACAGCTAGTCGCACAAGGCTTCGCACAGAAGCCGGCATCAAATATGTCAAAACATCCGCGCCCGTTGTGCGGCTCGAGACACTGTGCACCCTCCTTGCCTCTCGACCTCGACATCCACGTCATTGATGTTGTCAGCGTGTACCTCAACGGGGAGTTGCAGGAAGAGATATACATGCGGCAACCGCCCATGTGCGAAAATGGGCAGCCTGCCACCTGCCACCTGCACCGCACGCTCTATGGGCTCAAGCAGTTGGGAAGCGAGTGGAACCTCAAGCTCGACGCCGCATTTGTGGCCCTCGGCTTCACACGCCTCCTCTCGGACCAGTGCGTGTACCGCCACGCTACCACCAACCACCTCGCGCTTGTTGCTGTCCATGTGGACGACATGACAATGCTCACGTCCTCGCCTGCTGACTCCGACACTCTCACAGACAAACTCGAAGCTCATTTTGAGCTGTCCAAACTTGGCAACATCCACCAAGTCGTCGGACTCGAAGTTGACCGCAACCGCGCACATGGCACACTCATGCTGAGGCAAGCACAGTACATCGCACACGTTCTCGAGCACTTCGTCCATCTCGTACGCCACGATGGACCCGAGGACCCCAGCGCACAATCACTGTACCAAGCATCGTGGGTCACTCATGTACGCCGCACTTGGCACGCGCCCGGACATCGTGCACGCCGTCCAGCAGCTCAGCCAGTATTCGAGAAACCCTGGCCCCGTGCACCTCACTGCTGCAAAGCATGTCCTGTGCTATCTCAAGGGGGCGCCCGGCTTTGGCCTCACGTACCGCCGCGCCGACACGCTCGAGCCTTTCAGCTATTCCAACACCGACCAGGCCAACGGCCTCAACGACCGCAAATTGATCTTGGGCCAGGTCTTCCACCTCGCCGGCACACCGATCACCTGGGCCTCGCGCAAGCAGCACATCAACACAAAGTCTAGCATGGAGGCCGCATACATGGCCGCGAGTGCCGCTGCCTCCAAAATTGCGTGGCTCCGCACGCTCTTGAACCAAGCTTGGCATGGCGCCTCTTCATCGACAACCAGAGCGTGATTGTGTCCGCAAATGCGCAGACTTTGAATGCACGTACGAAACACATAGATATTCACTATCATTTCATACACGAGTGGATTGCCTCTAACAAGGTACAGGTCACCCACCGCCCGACCGAGGAAAACATCGCCGATGTCTTCATGAAGGCTCTCCCTTGTCCACGCTTCCAGACACTCGTCGCACGCATGGGCTTGCGACCTTGCGCCTAGGACTCTGAGTCGAGGGGGAGTGTTGCGCGGCCTAGCGGCATAGCCGCAGGACGACTCCGAGTGTGCTTACATTACAACACGGCCATTCTTACTTAGCATTGACTATTTAGTTACACGTTTACTCGTTTACTCGTTCCGTATATCTTGGCATTGACTGACTACAACGCACTTATTAGCCCATTAGAAATTTTCTATTACTCTTTACTATAAGTACTAGTTGCCTGCAGCTTTGTAATATCATCGTTATTGCTTGTTCTTTTCTTGTCGACTTCTCGACAAACCACACTCTGTGAGCATAATCTTCTACTCTTCCTCTACCATAGCGTCCATACTGTGTTTCTCTGCTATGTACTAGACCACCTGAAAAATTTGCAATGGTCTCCCAGTCGCAGTCATCCATCGCAATGAAAATGCACGATGAGCCACTGGTAGTCCAGCGATACAAAAGTGCTACCTCATTGCAATGAACATCTGCATCTGGCATACCATAGCAACTCAGGAGATAAACGATGTTCACCACCTCTCGCCAGCCAAAGACCCGCCCATTCTCGCTGGTCTGCGAGTATCCCAGTCATGGTATGCAACTGGGGGGCAAGGCCTAAGACGAGCGAGGAGCGAGGAAGAAAGTAGAATTAAAATACCTGCCCCTCATCGGCCAAAGACCCACCCATTCTCACAGTCATGGTATGCGACTGGGGGGCAAGGCCTAAGACTTCAGAGGAGCGAGGAAGAAAGTAGAATGAAAATACCTGCTCCTCGTCGGCCAAAGACCCACCCATTCTTGCTGGTCTGCAAGTATCCCAGTCGCGGTATACAACTGGGGGGCAAGGCCTGAGGCTTCCGAGGAGCGAGGAAGAAAGTAGAATTAAAATACCTGCCCCTCATCGGCCAAAGACCCACCCATTCTCGCTGGTCTACGAGTATCCCAGTCGCGGTATGCAACTGGGGGGCAAGACCTGAGGCTTCCGAGGGGCGACGA